CTGGGCCCCGGCGCCCCGGCCCGGCTGACCTTCGTCCCTGTGGATTGGCCTGACGTGCGCGGCCCCGAGTTCTCGGTCCGGGTTGGGGGCCCCGGGCGAGGTCGTGGCCTGAGCGCGCTGTCCGCCCCGCGTCCCTCCTAACGTGAGGGCCCCCGTTTGGGCGCAATGGGTCCTCACCTGCACCGGTGCCGTAGGCACTGCGCCAGGGGACCGAGAGGCGCTCTCATTCCCGCGGTCACGCAGCTGCTCAGGTGGAGCACAGTGAGGGGCGCGGTCCATCTGTCACCTCCCTCGGGGCGCTGTGGGTCTCGATGTAAGTGCGAGTCCGCCTCTACCACGTGGGCAGCCAGAGAAGCCGCCCTCATCCCCCCGCCCTGCGTTTTTTGGATTCTTCACCTTTTACATTTGTAACATACCCGTGAAACAGTGTTTACCATTTTACCTATTTTTAAGTGTATAATTCAGTGACATTGTCCCTTTTTTTCTAATACCTTGACTCCTGGTTTTGTCCTGAAGCAAGAGGGCTGAAAGGACATAGGTGGTTGTAAATGTTAGGCTTTAACCCCGGGATGGGGTAGTGTGGGGGGAAGGGTTGCAGAGCTCAGCCTACAGTGGGGGGACCACACTGGAACAGGAGCAAGGGCACAGCCTCCCAGTGCTCCCCGTGCCCTCCAGCCCACCTCTCCCAAGGAGTCCTGTCCTCACTGCTGACCTCCCTGGCGGCTACTTCCTTTTCATCACTTCCAGTGTTCCAGAGTCACAGCTTCATCGCTTGCTTTTTAGGACTGGAGCAATGGTACCCCATCTGGTGTCCAGGTGGCCTGCGTGGCTCTTCTGGTGGCGGGTGGCCTGCACTCCTGGAGCCTCCTTGCAGCATAGGACGTGGGTGGAGGTGTCCAGGCGCCCCATGTGGGGCAGCCCTTGGAGGGTCGTGGGCACCGGCTCCCTGGTTCGCAGAGGCAGCTCCTCTACGTCCTCCCGTGCCCCCGAAGTGGTGCTGACCCACGAGCGCTACCCTGTGCAGCGGCTGCCCTTCTCCGTGGTGTCCGAGGAAGACCGGGCTGCCTTTGAGCGCATGGTCCCTGGCAGGGTCATCATGGACCCCGAGGAGCTGGAGGCTTCCAACGTGGACTGGCTGAGATCCATGCGAGGTGAGCGAGGATCTGTTCGCGCCTCACGCTGCAGCGGGGTGGGCTTGAGAAACAGCAGTGAGATAGGCAAGGACAACACCACGGGTTGCGGGGAGAAGCACGGGGTAACTCCCATCTGCCTTTCTCATGCCGAAGAAGAGTTGCGTGCTGGGGATTTTAAAGCGCAGTGAGGACGGAATTTGTAGAAGTTTATTGGTGTGCATTAAGGAGTGCATGACACCTGCCAGTTAAAGGATGAGGCAGTCCCCTGGCTGCTCCGAGGGGCCTGTGTATAAAACACTCCCGTCCTCTCAGCTCCTGGTTAGGTTCCTGGGGCCACCAAGACAAAGAATCACAAAGAATCTCTGGATGCTGACGGCCAGGAGTTTGAGATCAAAGTGCCTGCAGGGCTGTGGTCTCTGGAGGCTCCAGGGGATGACCCTTCCTGCCTCTCCCGAGTCTTGGTGGATCCCTTGGCTTATGACAGCATCACTCCAGTCTCTGCCTCTGTCATCACGTGGCCTTCTTCCTGTTGACGTCGGAAACGTACAAACCTGTAGGGACGTTTTCTAAGAGTTTATTTGCGCCAAACTGATGACGTCTGCTGGGACGCAAGATCCCAGATACTCCCAAGAATCACAGTTCTGCAGCTACTTTTATGCATTTGGAATTTAGGAAGGAAATTAAGGAAGGGTACATGGAGGTGGGGGAAAGCCAGGTGGGGATGGGTTACAGGACAGTTAAGATTTGGTGCTCTCTTGAGGGTGGCTACACTCATTTCGAAGGTACGTGAACCTAGATGCACAGAAACAGTGGACACAGCTGGCTGAAGGTGAAGATAAGCCTTCTACTAAAGTTACAGGCCCAGGGTGTGACTGCCCACCGTGGCCTGCCCAGGTTGGGATTTATGATCAGATCACCCTGTGAGCTTGCTTTGCATAGAACCCTGTTTTTTTCATCCACATCCCCTTGTGTGCTTCTGTGTCTCGCTCTCCCTCTGCTTTCTCTTATGAGGACACCTGTCATTGGATTTAGGGCTACCCTAATCTAGGTTGATCTCATCAAGGTCCTTCACTTCTGTAAAGATCCTTTATCCAAATAAGGTCACATTCACAGGTTCTGGGGGATAGGATAAGGACACATCTTTGTGGGGGGGGGTCCATTCTCCCCACTGTAGCTCCCTAGGGCAAGACGGAGGGCTGCTGGTCTGGTCTGCCCCTGCTCCCTCTTCTCTCACCAGGCCTGTCCCCGGCCCCTCCGGCACACTGCCGTGCCGTGCCCCAGTTGGGTGCGTCTCCGCCTCCTGGAGGCAGCTCGTCCTTTTGATGACAGAGGTTGCGTTGCTCCTTGTGTGCTCTCCTGAAATGATTGCAGAGGTGATAGAACCTGCTCGCTCACAGTTCTGGGAACCAGCATGGTGTTCATGCCGTAGCATTAAGGAGTGCGAGAAGACGAGCTGCCTACAGCAAAGTGACCTGTTTAAACCTGTGACGCCAGGACTCACTGGGCGGCCACTCCTCGGGCTGGGCCTGACTGACCACGGACGGGCCCTTGAGGGCCGTGCCGTGCTGTGGGCTCAGGTGCTGCGGGGGCTGTGCTGTTGGTGGGGCGCCCTGAGTGAGGCTCCGAACCAGAGCTTGGGGTACAAGGGAGGTGGACGGGGTTGCGGGCTCAGTGACGGAGGTGGCTCTTTGCTGTGGGAGGTCAGCGACTTTGGAGGTCCTTGAGCTGTTCACTGCCGGGGGCCTGTGAGTAGAAGGGCCTTTAGCCTCACTCTGCCCACTGGGGAAGAACCCTGCCATGCTACGTTGTCCCGTAGAAGACACCACCCAGCACAGGGCCCGCGGGCTTACGTGTGGTGGCCCGGTGGCAGGGAGGGCGATGCCCACCCTGGCTTGACACTGCTGCCTGGTGGCCCTGGGCAAATGGGCCTCAGCCCCCACCTCTGCAGAGTGGGAGTGGGCCCCCCCACAGAGGTGAGGCCCCAGCCGCCTGCACCCTGTGTTCAGGAGGGCAGCACCTGAGTCCATCTGCCTGGGGGTCCAAGGAGATGACATGTCAGTTTTTGTGACAGTGCCCCTTTATGGGACTTTCTTTGGAGAAAAAGTTAAAAACTTCATCTAGGAGTTATATAGAAAATGTAAGCCTCTAAAAGCGGATTAGATTAGGACTGTGCAATTTTTCCTAAAAACAGGTTTTATTTGACATGGAAACTTATTAGACATCTTCACCCGTAAGAGGTGGACCACAGACCTCGCTGGGCACCTGCTATGGGCCTGGACTGAGGGAGGCCTGGGTCTGGGGCGTGAGATGGGCAGCATGCCAGAGACTGCGTGCGGAGGAGGCACTTGTCGCCTGAGCTGGGGAAGCTGGGAGGGCATTCCTAGAGCAGGGGCGGCCAGCACAGCCTCTGAGCAGGGCCACACTCGGCATGTTTGAGACCCCCGTGCGGCCGGAGTGGATGGACCAGGGAGGAGGTCAGAGCGAGGGGTCCGGCCACCAGGGCCTCGACGGCTGTGTGCGTCCTGGCTTCTCGGCGCTGAGAGGAGCCGGTCACTCTGGCCCAGTCGTTGGGCGCAGCGTCAGGGGCGCAGGGGGAGGGCGTGGTCTGCGAGGGGTGGGTGGTGTGGAGATGCGGAGGTTCATGTTTGGGATGAGGAGGAGCGGAGGACAGGCCGTTGCACGGTCACGGACCCCGGACTTCGTTTGCCGGGGCGGGAGAGGGACAGCGTGCAGGCGCGGGGGAGCACGCTGCAGAGACGCGCAGGGGGCCTGTCCCCTGCGGAGCTGGGGTGGCGGCGCCACGGTCCAGGCAGAGGCGACGGGTCAGGTGCGGCTACTGGGAGGAAGCCCTCTGTGGCGCCTTGGGGACAAGGGGACAAGACGGGTGTTTCAGTGGTGTGTAAGGGTTAGCATACGCTGGGACCAGTGATGGGGTGAGTGCTGTGCTGTCAGGGGTCCCGGGTTAAAAGAAGGCTTTTTTCATTTCATTTTTAATTTTAGGCTGAGAGTGGCCACCACAGCAGGTTGGTAATGAAGGAAGCCTGGGGCACTGTCCTTGAGGAAGTGGGTGGGGGCCGTGCCCAGCAGGTGCAGGGCAGGGGACAGGGGAAAGGCAGGCAGGGGGCGCAGGAGCAGGAGGGAGTGGGAGGGCTGGGAAGGGCTGGGGGGAGGTGTGAGGAGGGGTAAGCAGGAGGCCTGGGCTCTTAAGCCACGACAGGGAAGCGGGCCCGGCAATGGCCTGCTGCAGTGCACCTCCCGGTGTCTGGGGAGCAAGGCCCTCAGCACAGAGGTTCCCAGGGGCAGGGCTGTTACACCCTGGGACTGAGTGGCTGGCGGGGTGAATGACAGGCCACTGGGAGAGCAGAGGCAGCGTCTGAGTCTGAGCTGCAGCCCTTACCTGTCGGGCCAGCAGGCCTGCAGAGGCTGGAGATGAGGGTGCTGGGTCCCTGTTGAAGCCCCCCATACTCTGCGGTGCTTGTGGGGAATCATAGGCATGGCTGTTTCCATAAAGCCCTGCCCTTGGACACGGGCTGCAGACTGGCTCCTACTCACATGGACACCGAGGTCACCAGGAGGTGCCCGGGTCCATGCATGCTGGGACGAGGTGCGTGGCTCCCCGGCACCCGGAGCAGGTTGTGGAGCACCCACATGGTGGCGCCAATGGGGAGGAGGGCCCCTCAGAGAGCTGCAGGGCACGCGGACGGTGGCCCAGTGACTTGGGGGCGGAGGAGGCTCAGAAACCACAGAAAACAGCTGAAGAGTGAAATTGAGCAACTGCAGCTGTCCTCCGGGGAGTGGGCACTTGGAAATGGGAGGTGCTTGCAGTTTTGGGTTGTCACAAAAGCCAGAGGGTACAGCTGGCAGGTGGTGGCAGGATGTCAAATGTGCAGGAACTGACAGGAACCTGGCTGGTGACCAGGGTCCCTGTTCTGTGCTGTCCTAAGGGATCAGGCTAGAGGCCTCAACGGCCAGCCCCCTGAGCAAACATGGTTCATTTGATGAAAAGCAAATGGAAAATGATTTTCAGAATTAAAAAGTAAGACAAACTACAGCCTGATGTCAGAGCTCCATGAAGACTTGGTGACACGGGGGAACATCTGCTGGGCGTCCCTCCTGCTTTTCTGCTGCCTCCTCTCATTTATTTAAAGAACTTTCAACAAAGACAAAGGGCAGAAAGAAGCTTGATTGTTCTGGGGAAGCAGTGGGTAGGAATGCCAACAGACCGGCTTGGAGGGGCTCCCACCGGCCACATCTGGGCATCCAATAAATCTTGACAGCAAAGAATTGTAGCCCAGTGAATAAAAGAACCCATGCGCCCACGCTGACAATCGAATAGCTAAACAAGTACATGACAGAGAAGGAAGACCCCTTCTTACAGTAGACAGCCCACAAACGAAGGCGGGTGGATGGACTTAGAGACACCACCATTCGGCAGCCGTGCTGAGAACTGCTCCGGGCAGGAGAGCCAGCAGATGCTAAGTTCGTGGGTGAAGGTTGGAGGAGCAGCGGGGACCTACATGGCGTGCCCCACAGACACTTTGTGACTCGTGGTGGAGAGGCGAGCATCGCAGTCACCCTCACCATTGTCCAAAGCAACCACCCTCCGCCGGCCCCTCCACCTCTCCTCAGCGGGGATGACTGTCCTGGAGGGTTCCCGGCTTGCAGATGACCATGTGGGCCACCCCAGCTAGGGAGGAGAAAGTGCCGGGGAAGGACATTTCAAAGAGACCCAGACTCCCTGCCACATGCCTAACACGCTCTTTCCTGTCTCAGGCTGTAGCAAGGTGCTGCTGAGGCCCCGGACGTCCGAGGAGGTGTCTCACATCCTCAGGTAAGGAGCCCCGAGCTCCCGCCCGCCGTGCGTTCCTGTGGTTCCCTCACGGAGACGCGCAGACCCCACGAAGCTGGCGGGAAGCTGGCGGCCTGTGCTGTGCCAGGCGAGCTGGAGTCGGGGAGCCCGGGTGCTGGCCGGGCCTGCTGCGGGGAGGGCCGTGGACTCGTAGCGCGCTTCCGGGAGGGGAGTAGGCCTTTTCTGCCAATGCGCGCTCTCTGCTTTTTTATATCAGTAAACTGTCACGTTTATTATAGAAAAATTTGAAAACAGAAAACTATAGAGAAAAAGTGCAAAAGCAACCAGGAACTGCCCCTGCAGAGATAAGCACTGCTGACATCTCGGCTCATCGTGTTAGTGTCTTTCCCGCGTGGGGCCGGTTTTGAATGGCATCACGTGTTTTTGGTGTGTGAGAGCCCGAGTGCCCTGCAGCATCCCACCCCCGGAGTTGCCAGGGCACATGAGATGGTCCCGAGCCTTACGCTGCCACGACGGTGCTCGGCACGTGGCACTTGCTGTCAGAACCCTTCGCCGGAGCCTTTCTCCTTGCGGGCGGGTTTACTTGTTGCACGTGGGCGCGCTGCCTCCCCGGCAGGCACGCCATTCCTACAAACCCTCACCCACCCGGGCCCTCGCGGGCGGGCATGACGGTGGGGGCGTGGGGAGGAGCGGCCTGACACCACCCCGTGCTTGTCCCAGGTACTGCCACGAGAGGAACCTGGCTGTGAACACGCAGGGGGGCAACACGGGCATGGTGGGCGGCAGCGTCCCTGTCTTTGATGAGATCATCTTGTCCACCGCCCTCATGAACCAGGTCATCAGCTTCCACGACATGTCCGGTGAGCCTGGGCTGCCCTCTGGGGCCTTGTCCTTGTCCTTGTCAGCTGCCGTGTCGGTGGTGGGGGCCCGGGAAAGTGCAGCTCCGCCCGCGCCCAGCCCTCCGGGTGTCTGCACAGGCGCATCGTTGACTTGGTCACTTAGTGACTGACACGGAGGCCTTGAGGTGAGAGGGGACTGGCTGTCGTTGTGGCCTCTTCCAACTCTGACGTTTGCTGGCCACGACTGCCTCTTCCGGGGCACGTGAGCTCATGTGTGTAAAGGGGCTTCTCGCCCAGGACCTGGCGGCGTCACGATCTTTGGCTCTCGAGCAGGACGTTTGGGGCTGGACCATTCTCTGTGGTGGGGAAACCTGGGCACTTTGGGGTGTTGACAGCATCCCTGGCCTCCATCCACTCGATGTCAGTAGCATCTCCCTGACCAAAAGTGTCTCCAGACTTGTCACATGTTCCCTGGGGGCGGAATCACCCCCAGCTGAAGACCACTGCCTCGCAGCAGCCCTCTCTTGTCTGCTCCCCCCATGAGTGTGCACCTGCCCTCCCTCCTCTTCCCTTTTCCACGGCACATAGAACGGGCCGCGTCGGTCCTGACCAAGGGCGCCGTGGTAACGCCGGCTTCTTGGCAGGGACCCTGGTCTGCCAGGCGGGGTGTGTCCTGGAGGAGCTGAGCCGGCACGTGGAGGAGCGGGGCTTCGTCATGCCCCTGGACTTAGGGGCAAAGGGCACCTGCCACATTGGGGGGAACCTGGCGACGAACGCGGGCGGCCTGCGGTTTCTGAGATACGGCTCGCTGCGTGGGACAGTGCTGGGCCTGGAAGCGGTGAGCTGGGCCACTGCCTCCCCTTCCAGCGTCAGGGCACCAGCCTCCCAGCCTTTCCCCGCGGCCAGTGTGCTCTCGAGGCCCCTGGGCAAGGCCCACCCCACCTCGCGGCGGGTCCCGTGTGTCCCAGGCAGGTCTCTTGTGGCTCATTCTCCTGCGGGAGGCGCGTAACCGCACGGACACTGGGGCCTGTGGCGTCCACCACGGCGGGGCCCCAGGTGGCGCAGGGGCATGAGGCCGGGTTGGAGACCCTGGGTCCCCACCGTCCCGCCGTGGCCTTGGCTCCAGGCTGGGCGCTGCGGAACCTGCTGGCGGGTCGTGGCCCCCAGGGGGCGCTCTGACGGCCTTCTAAAGACACCCGGCTCCGGGCACTTTGGCCTTCAGTCACCCGCTCGCTCGCTGCGCCTGGGGGCATTGACGCCCTCGCTGACCCCCTCACTGACCCCGTGCCCCGCGGCTTTCTAACGCACGGAGCCCGCCGTCCTGTTCACCCGCGGTGGGGCGAGCACCGAACTCCTCCATTCTCTAAGTCCCCACACCCAGCCGCACGTCATTTTTATCGTGAGTCACTTTCTCGTGTTTAGAGGTGGCCCCGGTCCACCCCAGGTGTGTCCTGCTCCACCTCCCCAGGTGGGCTGTGCTCCACCCCCAGCTCCCCTTGAGAACTGGGCTCCGAGCCTCCTAGTTGTAGGCGGTGAGCCGGAGGGGGATAATGTCGCTCTAGCTGTGGGGAACAGTCCTTCACCCCCGGGCCTCGCGCTGTCCTGGACCAGCCTGGGGTGGCGGGGGGTGGCTCGTGGGCTTTCACAGGGTGCCCTGGGTTGGTCGGCCTCCCGAGACGGACACCTGCTCAGTCTGTGGGCTGGTGTGTAAGTGCCTTGTGTCCCTTGTCCCTTGCCAGGTGCTGGCCGACGGCACCGTCCTGAACTGCCTCATGTCCCTGCGGAAGGACAACACGGGTTACGACCTGAAGCAGCTGTTCATCGGATCAGAGGGCACCCTGGGGGTCATCACCGCCGTGTCCATCCTGTGTCCGCCCAAGCCCAGGGCCGTGAACGTAGCCTTCCTCGGTAGGTGGGGTGCCCGCCCCTTCCAGAGGCTACTGGGGGCTGGGTGCTCCTGGCCACCCTGTCATTGGTGTGAGGCGGGGACAGAGGGGCCCCCACAGGACAGCCCTTCCTGTTTCTCCTGGCTTCTTGCCGTTTCCAGAAGGATACAGGACCAGGTCTTGTGCTCATAGAAAGAGCTGGAATCAAGCTGCCAGGCTCTGGGCAGGACACCTTTGTCCTGTAACTGCACAGGCCTCGCTCACCTCTCTCACTCCACTTGGTTATTTAAGATTCTGAGAGAAAGGGGGTCATTTGGTGTGAGATCAGGGACATCACTCAGTACCGTGGGCTGAGCAGAGAGCACCTGTGAGGACAGACAGACGGCTGCACAGTGTGCTGTCCTGCCTTCCCTGCCCCGCAGCCGCACACTCCAGCACACGCAGCACACTCCAGCATGTGCAGCACATGCCAGCACGCTCAGCACACACCAGCACACGCCAGCACATGCAGCACACACAGTACACACAGCACACACAGCACACGCTGCCACCGTTCGGTGTGTGGCCTCTGACACACAGCTCTGCGCTGCTCAGGCCTCCGCTCCGCGGCTCAGGGGGGCTCGCCTGCCTACCCCTTGTTTCCGCTCTGACTGCTTCCCGTCCCCTCTCACCCTCATCTCCTCGTTCTCAGTTGGGTAGGTGTATTGGAGGGGTCCCTCCCCTCCCTGCTCAAGAGTTAGGCCAACTACCAGGCTTCTAGAGCTTTCTGCAGGCTTTTAGCCCCTGAGTCCAGTTGATCAGTCCGCACTCCCCGGCTGGGCTGGTCACAGACTGGTGGTCCGTAGCCGTCCCCCACCCCCGACTTGGCTGTTCTTGTCGCAAGCCTCACCCCTGGTTTCACGCCGTAGCGAGCCTTTGCTTGCCCTCCCGCGGGCGAGCTCTCTGCGCGTGCGCGCCCGTCCCTCGCATGCGGATGTCTGCCGGTGGTGGAGCCTCACGTTCCACGGGCCTGAGAACGCCCTCGTTCCGGCTCTCTGCGCAAGGACGTGCACCAGGCGTGCGGGCGGCTTGGCGTGCTCTGCCTCTCGTCCCCTGGGGACGTCCCGCCGCAGCGGCCCCACTGCTGTCCACAGGGAAGGCCGCCATCCCCCACTGCTCTGAAGGGGTGTCTCCTGTTCCCGGGGCCCTAGAGACCTCGCCTCGCCTTGGTCCTTCGCGATTCACGTACGTCGTGGGGCGGAGCACACTCCTTTGGGTCTCCCCAGACCTTTCTGAGCTCCTGAAACCTGAGGGCTGTGTCCTCAGCCACTTCCAGCACCGGTGTTCCCATCCCCTTCCAGGCGGTGCTGACAGGCCCAGGGTGGCCCAGGCCGTAGTCCCTGCGGCTCCCACCCCTCCCCACCCCTCCCCACCCTGCTGCACTCCGGTCGCTCCCCCCTCGCTGCTCCCTGAGGCCCCCGTGTGCGCAGCCAGCTCTGCGCCCGGGAGACTGTGGCAGTCGCTCCGCCTCAGGCCTCTGATCTTCTCAGACACTCCTGGCACCTCCGTGACCTCTGAGCCCTGAAGGGCCACGTGTGGCCCACCCCTCCCCCGCAGGGTCTCCGGGCCTGTCCCACCTGCTGGCACAGCCCCCCGCATACCTTGTGAACACTCAGCTCCCCCTGCACTCAGCAAAAAACTCGTGCCGGTCACCGAGGACCGGTGAAACCTGGCTGCTTGTGGTACGAGGAAAGCAGCTATGTTGTACCCAAGGCAGCCCCCCTGTGCCCCGTGTGCAGACTCCCCCGAGTCTCGCGTCATGCCCCCCGTCCTCCCTGGCACTGTGGCAGTTTCATCTCAGTCTTCGACCCCGTGACGCCCTTGTTGGCTACCAGGCCCCTGCGGCCTGGCTCACTGCCTCCACCCCGCCCTTGGGGCCCTGGGGCAGGCCGGGCGGGCGCCTGAGGTGCTGTGTCCTGTTGTAGGCTGTCCGGGCTTTGCTGAGGTCCTGCAGACTTTCCACACCTGCAGGGGCATGCTGGGCGAGATCCTGTCCGCGTTCGAGTTCATGGACGCCACCTGCATGCAACTGGTGGGGCGCCACCTCCATCTCGCCAGCCCGGTGCAAGGTACCGACCCCATGCGGCCAGCCTTTCATGTCGCCTGATGTGGGGGTGGCTCTGGCCGTCAGGCCGTGGTCCCGTTCTCAAGGGGGGCCAGAAGGAGGACGTTAGTGCCTCTGCAGCTGCAGCGGTGCCCTGCGCGGTCGTCTCGGCAGTGCCTGGCCTTGAGCTCTGTGAGCCCGGCCGCTGTCGTAGCGCAGGGCTCCTCGAAACAGCCAGCTGCCTTTGGGAGAAGGCGCACCTGTCCCCAGGGCTGAGAGGAACTTGGTCTGTGAGGTGCTCACCCTCAGGCCTCAGACAGCTCTCTCTGAACGAGCGGACGAGCTGGCCGTGCGCCCACCCCTGGTCACTGCTGTGCCAGCGCCAGGCGGGGCTTCAGGCCATGGCTTGTGTCCTGGACCTCGGGGCTGGGAGTATTCTGCTATGGGCCGCGGTGGCATGGCTTCTGAGGTCCACCCTGGAGAGACGGTCGTGGCTTCCGCACTCCTTCAGTGTTGGCACCGTAGCCGGCGGCTCGAATGGAAGAAACTTGCTTCTCACGGTTCTGGAGCTTGGGAGTCCAAGTCCAAGGTGCCTTCGGGGCTGGTCCCTGGTGAGCCCCATGTTCTGGCCTGCAGGTGGCCACTTTGTCACCGTCTTCGCGGGGTGGCTGGAGAGCGGTCTGGAGACTCTCCCCAGGAGAGTCTGGGACCAGGTCCCAGCCCTTACGTCCCCGTTCGACCTCACTCGCCTCTGTAAAGGCCTCAGCTCAAGTCATGTCGGGGTGGGTCAGGGCCTCACCGTGGAAATGGGGGGTGATGCGACTCAGCTTGTAAGAGTCGTAAACACGGAACGACCTCTGTGCTGTGATTGTCAGTGGCATTCCCCTGTGAGCAGTGAGATACGGAGTGCCGTGGCCAGGAAGTGACTGTGTGGGGGCGGGTCCCGGGCGGGGGAGGGTCTGTGGTGGGCAGTGGGTCTCTGGACAGAGGAGCCCCTGGCTGGAGCACGTGTGCTGCTGGACATTGTGGGCGAGAAAGCCGCTCCACCGTAATGTTTAAGGCAGAGGCCCGGCCACCACACTGTCCCAGCCGTGCGGGTCGGGGCCTCTGGAAGGACGGCGTGGAGGGGCCGTGTCGGAATAGTGGCCGCGAGCTGGGAGGGTCTTCGTCTCTGTTCCCCAAACCTCCTCGCGCCAGCGCGTTTCACTCTTAATGGGGAAAGAGCCAGTGATGCTTCCAAGCTCAGTGCTCTGTGACCTGCGACACGCTTAAGAGCGGAATTCCTGTTTGAGCAGAGAAACGCAGTGTTTGGAGGACACGCATGCTCTTGGTGTTAGGACGGACTCGTGTTTCTTCTGGAAGAAACGAAGGAGGTGCTAGAAGGAGGAGCGTGAGTTTTCACCAACTGACGTCAGTGCACGTAAAAGCGAACACCCAGCAGCCCCGCTGAAACGCGGCTCAAGGGTTTCCTAAATGAGTTAGCAGCGTGCGTGTTTTTCAGCTTCAGGAAGGACATGCTTGTGGTAAGAAGCACGTGCCTCGCGCCTGTGCTACTGCAGTGTCACAGGCACGGGCCTCTCCTTTGGCCTCGGGCCGCCTACGGCCGTGTCTGGTACCTCCCGCAGCCCGAGGCGCCCCTGGCCGTCCAGGCACCAGCAGCGAGGGCTTCACAGCGTCGTCCAGGTTGTTCCTGTGACTCCAGGGACTGTGGTTTGTCACAGCGAAAGGCCCGTTTTAAACCGTCAGAAATTCAGTCTGAGCAGACTCCCCTCCTGGGGCCGTGTTGGCACCACAGGCCACCAGTGGTGCTCCAGCCGTGGGACCCAGACTGGCCCTGACTCGCGGCTCAGCCTGCTCCCCTCCCCTTCCAGAAAGTCCCTTCTACGTCCTGGTCGAGACCTCGGGTTCCAGAGCTGAGCACGATGCCGAGAAACTGAGCGGCTTCCTGGAGCAGCTGCTGGGCTCCGGCCTGGTGACCGACGGGACCCTGGCCACCGACCAGCGGAAAATCAAGGTGCGTGTGCCACCAGTACGCCTCTGCCCACTGCCCACCTCTGCCTCCTGCCCCAGCTGTGTGAGGGCGTCGTGTGCTGGACAGGAGTGAGGGCGTGGCCGGATGCAGGCAGCCCCCACCCCCCCGCCTCGCCTCTCGGGAACCAGGCTCTGGCGTCCAGGTCGCTTTGGGCAGTGCTCAGAGCAGACACGGGACGCGGCTGTGGGTCAGTGAGCCCAATGCTGAGCGTGTCTGGGGGACGTTGTCTGAGGAAGGACGTGGATGTCGACCTGGGAGGGGCTCAGCCTCTGAGGCCACAGGCAGGAGGTGGGGTCCCGGGCAGGGGAGCTGTTGTTACCTTCGCAGGGCAGGAAGGCCTGGGCCGGGAGCCATGTTGCCATCACTTAAAGAGGGGCAGGACCCAGGAGTGAGCAGTGTCGTCCCCCACCCTCCCATGGCCCAGAGTGGGCAGCAGGGGGCAGGAGGCTGTGGGGACAGCAGCAGGAGGAGGCAGGGAGCACTCACCGGGAGGGTGGGGAGCGGCCTCCGTCGTCTCCCGGTGGCTTCACTGACTCTGTTCCTCTGTTGGGAAACCTTCCTCTCTGCAGTCACTTCTGTGCTTCTTAAACGTTCCACGAAAGGCATCACAGAAACAGCCTGACTGAGGCTGTTCGGGGACACAGCGTGTGTGCAGCCTGTTCTGCGCGCTGGCCGGCCCCTGGGGCCCTTCGCGCCCCACCCCTGTCGCCTAGACTTCAGGACATGCCTAGAGTGGCTTTCGTTACTGCCTGTCCTGTCTGGGGGGCCCTCGGTGCCTCTGCCGCTGGCACATGGTGCTGCCCGGGGCAGCCTCTGGGGCCGTGTGGAGTGTGGACACTGGGACCGATGCCCGCAGAGCCGCCCTGCCCCCCAGGCTCGTTGCGGGGGCGTGTTGACCTGCCCGTCCCTGCCTCTGTCCCAGGCGCTGTGGGCCCTGAGGGAGAGGATCACGGAAGCGCTGAGCCGAGACGGCTACGTGTACAAGTATGACATCTCTCTGCCTGTGGAGAGGCTCTACGACCTCGTGCCCGACCTGCGCGCCCGCCTCGGCCCGCGGGCCAAGCACGTGGTGGGCTACGGCCACCTAGGTGAGCAGAGCGGGGCAGGCGTCCGCAGCCAGCGCGGGTAGCCGGCACTGTGTGCCTGGGGTCTTGGGTGCAGCGGGGGTGGTGCATCCCCGCCGTTTTCCTGGTTTGGGTGTTTGGGGAGAGACCGCCGTGGTGGGGGCGGGGACACGTTGGGGGTCCCGCAGGGCTCGTGTGGCCTGTGGTGGGGAGGCTTCAGCTTGGCACCAACTGTGGAGCCTGAAGGAGGGGCTGATGGCCACCTTCCTGGACTCGGTGGCCGGTACTGCGGGGCTGCACAGCCTGGTGTTTGGGGAGGGGCCTGGTGCAGCACGGTCCGCGAGGGGCCCCGGACTGGGAGTGCAGTGCGGGCCGGAGGCCCATCTGCCTGACGTGGGCCCTTCTCCTCTGGGGGCACGGACTCCAGCCTCCACCACAGACGGGGATGCCCCTGAGGGCTCGCCCCAGTAAAACCAGGAGTGAAGGCTCAGCCTCAGAGCTTTATCTGCATCTTCTGACGTAGCTGGTGCTTGTGCCGTGACAGGCAGGGAGCAAGTGACACTGGGTCCTGGAGGCTGATGGGGCTGTGTTTCGGGCGGAGCCCCGCTCAGCCACGACCCTTTTGTGTCCTATTCTATCCACTTCTGTACGTTCTCTGCAGGATTTTCCAGGTCTCGGAGGGCCCGTCTGCCCTCACTGATGTGGGGCTCACTGTCACTCATCGGGAAGTGTGTGTGAGGCTGGAGTTCTGGCCCCTCGAGCGCTGGGTGGACTGGCCACGGAGACAGTGGGCCCGAGCCGCATGTGGCGGCTTCGCAGCTCTGCGTTTCTTCTGAGCTGGTTTCGGTGATCATTTTTCTCTGGGTGTTTGTCTTTTTCTTCTAGAACACCCAGTGTGGTGTGACGTGGTTTGTGACACTTTTCTGTTTCCTTTGCGAGGTGGCACCTGGTCTGTTCCTCACGTCAATTTCACAGTTTCCCCGGAGAATTAGCGCTTGGTTTTGCTCATCCTTTCTCTTGTATGTTGCTTTTTATTTTTCTCTTTTCCACTATTACGTCTGTTGTTTTTTTCCCTTTTCTATTTTTAGGTTTTCTCTGTTGCTTTTCTAACTTTATAAATTGAGTACTTAGCGCATTGGTTCTCAGCCTTTTTTCCTACCGCGTATTTAAATTTCCCTCAGTGCCAGCTCTGCTGGTCCCTGTGTTCCTGGATTCAGACAGTACCCATTTGTCACCTCGGCATGATCTCGGAAGGGCCCCAGCCGGGACAGTGTCTGTCCCTCGAGTCACTGGTGGCTCAGGATCCACGTGTCACGTAAACCAAGGCCCTGCTCCCACCCGCGTGGACGTGGGCGGGCAGGCGGGGGCATCGGTGTGTCGGGCGCTCTTAGCCTCTCGCTGGGCCCTTGCTGTGGCCTCTCCGTGCCTGTGCCTGGTTTCTGTGCCTCCACTTCTGAGGTCGCCTGCAGTCCTGGCTTCGGCCCCGGCTCTGAGCCGTGGACCAAGGGCCACTCAGGCCGCGGTGGCTCTGGGTCTGTCCTTCAGCCTGGCTGGGTTTCCGGGCGCGTCCACCGCTGGCGTTGAGGGCGTCCCTGCCTTTGTGCCGAGACCTGCACTTTCGATGGCACTTCCGTTGTCTGCAGCCCTCAGCGTTTCTCGGCTCCATGCTCTTTTCTTCTTTGACCCAGGAATTAGGCAGAAACGCGTGTTTTGATTTTCAAACACACAGGAATTTTCTACCTGTTTTAAAAATCGTTGACCTGCCGTCTCCTTGGCTGCGACCCCTGCGTCTGAGGTCGGGGCACCAGGGCCGCACAGGTCCCCAGACCAGGCACGCACGGTGACATCAAGGGAGCTGTCACTTGATGAGAGCAGATGAGCCCGTCTCCCCTGTGGCCTCGCCGCTTCTGAAGAGAGGAGATTAGAGCTGCCACTGAGTTCTGGCAGTCGAGCCTCGTCCCCACCACGGATCCCTCGTCCTGGGGCCGTCTGCCTTGACGCCTCCTTCAGTGCAAACCCTCGTGACCCAGCTCTCGTGTGCGCGATGTGTGCCTGACGCTGCTTTTGCTTCTGTCACTTGCAGGCATTTTCTGTCCTTTGAGTCGGACCACGTCCTGAAGACAGCCTGTCGCTGGGGTTTCCCCCCGTTGCTTGCCAGCCGTTGTGTTTAAACTGGAGCGTTTAGCCTATTTCTGCAGGCGGGAATGGCTTAACTTCCCCCTACCCTCCGAGGTCCTTTGTTGGGGCCGTAAATTAGGTCCACAGAACACGGGGGAACGAGAAAAAAGCAAGTTCATTAACACGTGCATCGCACACACGCGGAGGCTCAGCATCGAGGAGCCCAAAGGGTCGGCTAGACGTGGGCGTCCACGGCGCCCCAGCAGAGAGCAGCGTGTCCTTAGAGAAGCCGCGGACGGAGCACCAGGACCTTGAGCCTCCAGGGGGCCAGGCTGAGGGAAGGTGAACAAACACACGGGGAACGGACAGTCGCCACGTGGACGTGCGCCGGGAGCACCTCCGGGCCGTGGAGGTCCTCGGTCTCCGTCCTTCCTGCTGTGTGGGGAGGGGCCGGGGCCTTCCCTGGGGTCGGCTTCTCCTCTTTGCCCCTGCTCGGCAGGGCTGCCACGCCGCCCTCGGCGTGTGCACGTGCTGCGGCCGCCGTCGCCCGTCGCTGCGCTCACCTCCTCCCGCCCGGGCTTTCCGCTCGGCTGTCCCCGCTTCTCTGCTGCTTTCTCTCTATTTCAGCCTCCTTTGGGCTGATGATTTTCCTCTCGTGGGTTTTCTCCGTTTACCAGCTGGGGAGTCGTGCGCGTGTGTCTGTCTGTCCTTCCGCAGCGGCTCTGGAACGCGCCTCGCATCCTGGCGAATCGGCGTGAAGTTAAGCGGTGGCATCAGCACCCCAGACACCGCGAGGCCGGCTGGGCCGTGCGCGGGTGTCGGCCAAGTGCTAGTCCTCCTCGTGCATGAGGTCAGCGCTTAAGCCGGCAGACCTGAGTGGAGCACAGCGTCCTCATCCAGTCAGCGGGCTTGCCAGACGAAGGGGTGCGAGTGCCCGAAGGGGAGGGGTCCCGACTCCGCAGCCTCTGGACACCAGCCGCATGTCCGCGCTTCCCGGGGTCTCCAGGCCGCTGGCCCGCCAGTTCCCACGCTGCGAGCCACCCCTTCGGGTAGAGCCCCCGCCCCGTCGGCGCCGTGTGTCTGCAGAGCCCGTGCGTGGTGCCCAGGCCTGAGGGCCCAGTTACTCGTGGTTCTGGCCTGCTGCTGTCCGTGCACTGTTTTTGGAGCCTGCTGCGGTTCCGTCTGGTTTTTGGCCCCTGTGGCCACGCTGCTGCTGCTGTGGTCAGGTCTCCCCGTCAGTAGCTGTGCCCCCCACACCCTCCCCCTCGGTCCACAGCCGCCCGCGTTCCCCCCCAGAACTTCCTCTGGCGCACGAAAGTGGGTGACAGAACATCAGATTTATTTGCCTGAAAACGTATGGCTTTCGTTCCTAAGTTTTCTTCTAGAGGATTTCAGTGGCCCTGGCTGCCTGTTCTCTGGCGGGAGGGGTCCTTCCGCCAACCCCTGGCTCCCTGTCGCCAGTGCAGCCGTGTCCGGCGCGTGTGTCCCGGTCAGAGGCGTCTGGTCACCCTCCGTGCTGCTCTTACGGTCTTTCTTCTTCGTCTGGGTCCCTTGGTTCCCCCCCGATTCGTCTGGGTGACCATCTGGGCGCCGGCCTGGGGTCCACTGGGCTGGGTGTCAGAGGTCAGTCCTCCGCGTGCCTTCAGATGCTTGTCTCCCACCCCCACCTGCTTCGGGACCTCCAGCCCAGGGCGGCTCCGCCCCATTGTCCCGTCTCCAATCCTCTGTGTTGCGTTCGGATCTCTGTGTGGCTCGTCTTTCAGTTTGTTCGTTGCTCTTTGCTGCGCATGTACACGACCTGTTAAAACTGTTCATTTTATGTTTTAGCGAACACAGTTTTCATTTCCAGAAGACTGGTTTGGAGAGTTAGACCTTTGCCCGGTCGGTGATTTACCCTTTTTAGCTTTCATTTCTTTTAATCGTGGGAAGCAGTGACGTCTGTTCCGGGAACGTCGGGTCCCGAGCCTTCGCGGTTGGTGCCTCCCGTTTGCGTGGACGTGTTTTCGGCCCGGGCTCGAGTGTCTTAGCCTTTCATCTGTGGGAGACGTGTGAGGCCTGGGTTGGAGGTGCTGCTTGTTTGTGTGGGGGGCGGGGAGGGTGGAGGTGGAACCTCCTGAACCTTCGTGCCCTGAGCTCGGTGGGGGTTCGTGCTGCACACTGCGGGGCAGGTTAAAGAGTCCGACACCCGAGTGTCAGTGGAGACGCCTCTCACTCACCTCCCAGCACGGGGTACCCTGCGCTGGTCCCTTAGTGGCGATTTAGTTGCCTTTGCCCTGAGCGTGTCAGCGGGGACCACTTTTGGTGGGAGGGGGTCCCTGTGATGTACCCAGAAGGAGGGCAGGGTGTGAGAAGCCCACCCTGGGCCTGACCATTACTGCTCAGCCCTGTGCACCTCTTGACTCCCGGTCTGGGCGTGGGGCCCCTTCTGTGCTGGCGCCCACACTGGCTGTGCGTGCCGGTTACCCGGCACCTCACTGCTGTGACCTCCCGGCCAGCACGGCTCCAGCCCCCGGACCCCCGTCAGTGGCAGCCCCACCACCTGCCCCTCTCCTCCCCTGGCCAGGGCCCAGCCAGCTCACATGGACTTGGGGCAGCACTGTGTCTTGTCATTGCCTCGGGCCCTGAGAGAGGAGGGGCAAGGGGTGGTGAGCCTGGCCCCCCAGGGCTAGAGCCTGGTGTGTTTGGACGGTGCTGACACCAGGGCCTGGAGGTGTCAGAAGGGGGCAGGGGGGGCCAAGCAGGCCTGAGAGGAGATGGCTGGGTGGCCAGGACATTGTTTGTGGCTTAGGGGGAGGCGTCCTGGGCGGGGTGAGGCCTCTACGCCGTCCTGGGCACTTAGAGATGCGAGTCTGGTGGGGGCCTTGGCAGGCTGGGCCGGTCACCCTAAGGCGGGGGCCCTCGGAGGGGCTGTGTGGCTGGAGGGAGACCTGGAAGGGGAGGAGTGCGAGAGCTGAGGCTCTGGGGTCCCCCAGGGCCACTCCTGCCGCTGCAGGCCGGTGGCCAGTGGCACAAAGGGCTGGAACCAGACCGAGGGCGCGAGGGGGCCTCGCAGGTGGAGGAGAGGGGCTTGGGAGTGGGGCCCAGTGGGTCTCGGGGGCCCTGCCCGGCCTGACCCGTGGATCCTTGTCCCTCCAGGTGATGGCAACCTGCACCTGAACGTGACGGCAGAGGCCTTCAGCGCGGCGCTGCTGGGCGAGCTGGAGCCCTACGTGTACGAGTGGACGGCAGGGCAGCGAGGTAGCGTCAGCGCCGAGCACGGCGTGGGCTTCAAGAAGAGGGACGTCCTCGGCTACAGCAAGCCCCCTGAGGCCCTGCACCTCATGCGGCAGCTCAAGACCCTTCTGGACCCCAAGGGCATCCTGAACCCCTACAAGACGCTGCCCGCCCAGGCTTGAGGGGGCCGGGGTCAGCGGACGAGGCAGGTGTGGCCTCTGGGCCCGGGTTGGGCGTTGGGTTGGGCTCAGGGCTTCTGAGCGGTGGGGCCCCCCCACGCAGTCCCCTGTGGGCCGGGCTCCCCGTGGTGAGCAGAGAAGAGAGCGCTCACTGCCCAGCATTGCTCCGTCCACTCCATCTGGCCTCTTGGTGGGCACGCCTCAGGGTCCCTCCGCAGGTGGGGAGCCGAGCCTCCTCTGGCACGTCCTGGACAGGCCGGGGGGCGAGCATTTCTGCCCACTCAGAAGTAGACCAGATCGCACCTGCCCTGCCTGTGGCCCCCTGGGTGGGCACGGTGGTCCTGCTGCTGGCCCTGGGCAGAGGACCGCAGCTGCCAACTCCAGGTGGACGGCCCAGCGCACTGGTCCCTTCCTGGGCGCTGACCGGCAGAGCCTGCCTCGGGCTTGTTCTGGGTGACTCGGAGTGACAGGAGCGTGCCGCGCCCCGTTTTCCTGGAGGCCCACGTTGGCAGGACAGCCGTCGGAGCGTGGCGCTTGTTGCGTCCACGGGCCTGGCTTTCTGGTTCTGCTGCAGCAGCATCAGCAGGACCGCAGTGAAACCCTGCCAGGCTCCCTGCCTGCGGCCCTCCGGTGTCCCCGCACCTCCGACGACCCTGACTCCGGCCATGCCTGTTGGCCTCTGGCCCTGGGGACAGTCGGGAGGTGGGACACGTGTTCTCTCTGGCTGTCATGAACTTCCAGTAAAAATGTAAATTAGGATCCTCTCCTCGCTTCTGTTGCTAGAAAAATAATTTCGTAAAAGCCCACGGTGACATTTGTGTGTCCTGTTCCCTAGGGGCCCAAACGTCAGGGCTGAGAGAGTGACCTGGACCCGGCTGCCTGCGGGTGGTCGTCCCCCTCCCTAGACCCCGGCCCTTTCTCCACCGTGGGACTTGGAGCCCTTTCCCATCAGGCCCAGGAGGCCTTGTCCCACCTGAGTTTTCCAAGTTGTCAGAGGTGGATCAGTTCACGTCTGTGATGACTTTCAGTAATAGCTTTATGACTAAGCAAGTTTATTTTGAAGAATTAAAGTGACACGTGAAATTTTAAAAGGCTTAAAATTTTGAGGCATTTTCTGCTAGAGCATCATTGGGACGAGAAGGCAGCCAGTGACGGGCTATAGGGTGCAAGTGTCAGAGGGGCCTCCATTTCCTCAGAGGACGAGCTGGCCCCCAAAATGTCTAAGTGAGAACGGCCCGCGGTTTCCTCCTGGGGCTCCCCTACAGCAGCCACCTGTGTATGCGCACATACACGCAGTGGCCCCCAGACACAGAGGCACAGAGTGTACACTCTACATACACATGCTTGCACAGGCACAGCACAGACAGGCACACGGCACACGTTACATGTACGTACGTGCACAGGCACACAGGACACACGGACACAGGCACGTGCATGCACACACAGGTTTGTTCCCAGGATGCATGTGGAGCGCTGTCTTCAGGTGGCTTCAGTTGCTGGCCAGGTGGGGGTCAGCCTGTTGGAAGAGGAGGTGACGTATGCCTCTGAGACCTTGGACAGAGGGATGGTGAGAAGGGGGGCCAAGGGGCAGGCCCTGCTCCTGAGAGAAGACACTGGCTGGAGGAAGCCGATTGCTCACAGAACCTTCTGGCATGTCGAGACTGGCTGGGCTCACTTTGGGGAGAACACCTGGAGGTTGGGGTCAGAAGGAGATACTTTCTTTATTTTTAGATGCTTTGCACTTTTTTTTTTTCAACCAAGCATATGTACACTTAAAAACAAAAACAAAAACAGGACAAACCAGGCAGCAGGCTGATGCAGAGATCTGGAGTGGGGGTCAGGGAGCCACGCTGTTGGGCTGGCCAGCGAGACCTCAGGGAGGCGCATCCACGGTCCTGTCCCAGCCCAGGCAGAGCCTGCTCCCCACCCCTGCTGCCCCCTCCCCCCGACGGGCCCCTTAGGCCACCTGTCTGGCCAGGGGTCTCTGGCTGTGGTTGGACCACACCTTGGCAGAGGTGTGCGTCCTGGGGGTGTCTTGGCCCAGTAAGATTGCAGGGCAGGCTCAGGGGCTTATTGCAAGCCCGGGGGCTGGCCCAGCAAGTATGTCAGGACCCCTGTGACCGCCTCCCTGGGCTGGGTGTCCAATCTCTGTCCTGTCTCCTCTTTCTCCACCTCTGCCAGGATTTAAAACAAGGGTCCTCCCCTCCGGCTGCCAGCTGCCCGTGGCCTTGCCTGGCACCCGGGGCCACTCCTGGCTGTGGGGCTGCCAGTGTAGTCGCTGTGGGCCCCTGCTGCCGCGCTGGCCCCAGGAGCCAGCTCCATCCCATGGCTGTGGCCGCTATGCCACCGTCCCTGGCTGCGTGTCCATGGGCAGCTCCAAGGTGGCCGTGGCACAGGACATACCCTGTGGGAGCCTGACACTCAGAGCCTGGCAGCCGGCCTCTGGCCACCCTCTGTCGTTCTGAGGTCAGCAGACGGCTCCTGACGTCCAGCCTCTGACCCTCTGGGTGCCAGGTTTGAGGCCAGTGTTTTTCCAGCTACTTCAGTTTGGAGGCTGGAGCCGTCCAGCCTGGTGACCTACAGATGACAGTGACTGGGCTGTGGGAGATGGGCACATATCAGGCACTTCCTGCCAGTGTGGCCTCAAGGCCAGTGGGTACGATGAGGGTGGGGGCCCTCCTGGAGCTCACAGTGGGGTTGGAGGTGGGCTGGACCCGCCGTGTGCTCTCCCTCTGGTTGTGGTGCTCACCTGACACGGGGGGCTGGGGGGTTCCCGTCCTCCCCCACCCACGGCTTCTCTTCCGTGTTGCCTTAAAGTCCACGGTGGCTCGAAACACACACAGCCTGGTAAAGTGGGTGCTGGACGGAAGCCGGGGCTGGGCTAATTGCGTACGACGATGAAACGTGCACCCCAAAGGCAGGACGTCTAAACCTGCCTGGATGACACGCAGACCCGTGGGCTCGGGCCCTGTGCTCTCGTGCCTGCAGGAAACACTCCCAGCAGCCCCGGGTCTCAGGAAAGCCAGCACGTGTGCGTCTGAGCAAAGCGCAGTGACCCCGCACCGTCAGGGCACACAGCACGCGAGGTGTCACGTGACAAGAGGAGCGGCAGAGTCGGGGTGTCAGCAACGCACAGCCTGTGTCCCATCCAGCCCGGAGCCGGGACCATGGGTGTGGGAGGCCTGAGACCACGCCCTCCAGAAGCCGCCTCCCCCAGGTGGGGACAGATCTGGAACGTGCTGGGGCTGTGAGGGGAGGCCATTGTGTCTGGATTAGGGAAAGCTTATGGCTTTTGCTTTAAAGCCACTAAGCTGCTGCCACGTGAGAAGAGGTTACATGAGAGCCCCCCCAGGTGCCGCCCGGAGGGGGCCAGGGAGTGGGGAGGAGGCCCTGGCCAGGGGCCGAGCTGTGGGGGAGGGGTGGACAGTGCGGGCCTGTGGGCTCAGCGCGGGGAGCAGGTTGGGGACGGGAGCGAGGAGGCCGCCCGGGATGCGCTGGGCACGGGCGCCTGGTCCGAGCCTGCCGGGAGCAGCTGCCCTGCAGCTCTGGACTCGGGCGCTGCTGATGGTGGATCCAGGGGCCTCAGTGGAAGAGTCAGGAGTCAAGGGGCCCACAGGGCTCCTGAGGGCGGCCACCAGATGCTGGCCTGTGGCGAGGCGGAGCTGGCAGGTCGCAGGACAATGTGCCTGACCCCTGATCCCGACGTCACTGGCGACAGCGCCTATGCTGGACGCAGTCGCTGGCCACCCTTCCATCTCCTCCCTGACTCCCATGAGGTCTGGGGTGTGCTCAGCTGGCCTCAGCGCCCCACCCCACCCCCCTCAGCTCAAGGCCCTCAGATTCAGAGGACTGGGGAGGGCAGGCTCCTCCTGGCAATGGTCCAGGCCCCCAGGCGGCTCAGGCGGTGGGGACACGGCTGTCCCCGGATGGTAAGTAGGGGCACGCAGGCTGGACCCACTCTGTCCCTTGGGTAGACCCTCCAGGGAGCTTCGGGCCCTGCTTCCCTGCCCTGTGGGGGCAGCAGTCACCGTGATAGTCACCGTGACATTCTGGAATTGCCCCAGGCGCAGGGCTGCATGAGGGAGGGGCTTCCTCGGTGGGCCCTGGTGGGCCCGGCTCCCGGCTCCCCTCCCTGCTGTCCCCTCTCCTGGTCCCTGCAGCAGGTGCTGAGAATCGGACCTCATGCGGTGTGGCCACGGTCACACCGGGGTGGGGACTAGCAGGGCAAGAGAGGTGAGGGCATCGAGGCCGCGCCCCTGGTCAGCGAGCACCCTCCCTGGGCCACAGGTGGTCAGTGTCTCCAGGGCCCTGTCTCCATGTGGAGACATCTGTCACCTGTGCTGGTGCCACCTCAGCCCCAGCAGCTGCTTGGAGTGGCCGCCATACGCCGTCACCTGGCCCGTGTCGAGGGTGTGGCAAGCTGTGAAAGGCTCCATGTGGGAGGGCTGACCATGGCCTGTGGCCTCGTGGTGCGTGGCACCCTTCCCCTGGGCCTCGGGCTTGGCTGAGTGGCTCTGGCAGCCATTGACATGTGAGTGCCCACGGCCTCCCACTGCTGCGGGGAGAGGGTGTCCTGGTGGCCGCTTAGACCCAGAAGCAGCAGCTGGCAGGGACAGACGGCGTGGAGCTGCGGCCACCGCAGGCCCTTCACAGCGGAGGGCGCGTCGTCGCGCGGCATCGGGGGCAGAGTGCTGGCTGACAGCGTCACCGTCTGCGCTTTGCCAGCCCGGCTGTCGAGCTGCAAGGTCACTGGCCGTGCTGCCCGGGTTGTTGGAGGCCACCGTCCCCCCACACTCGTCTGTCCTCAGAGGTTCTCGTCTTCATCTCTCCCCACCCACTCCCATTTTAGAAGTAGAATATGAGGTAGCAGCTCCAGCTGCCCCAAAGCCGGACCTTCCCAGACCCCCCCCCAGCCCGGGTGGGCCCCCCACCGGTCAAGGCAGTCCTGAGGGTACAGATGCCTTTCCATCCTCAGTGGCCGGAGCACACGGTGCCCCGTGTGCTGGGCTAAGTGCCCCCGGCAGAGGGGGTGGGTTTCCTGGCAGCAGCGGCCTCTCAGGCCTGGCAGGCAGCGGTCAGAAGGGGCTTGGCAGCGGCAGAGCCTGGCCTGCTCCCGCGGGACCCTCAGCCCACCCCAGTGCTGCCCAGTCACTGGCCGGGGCAGGGGGCTGTGCTGGGCTCGGGCCAGTCTGGGGACGGAGACTCGGGGGGCCCCAGGAGCATCCCCGCAGCAGACGTGGGCGCCGCAGCCTTGTCCAGGTGAGGCCGGGGGCAGGCAGGGGCCCGAGGGCCCTGGCCCTGCCGGCGGCTGGTCCTTCCGCTTGCTCCGGCACTGCCCTGCGGACGTGACCCTCCTCTGTTGTCTTCGGATTGTATTTATATCTTGAAAAAAGAAATGAACTTTCATGCGGTAAAATCTACTTAGGTTTTTGTTTATTATCAACAGCAGAGTCCTCTTTTGAAAGTTTGTTTCTGGCCCAAGATGCAAGAGACAGTGAATTTCCTCCCAGCGTAAAGCGAGCCCCTCAGAAGAAACAGGGAGGAAAGCTCTCGGATTCGGGGTGTATTTCCCTTCTTCCTCAGGCCGCTGACTGGCTGTCTTCATCTGACACGCGGGCCTTGTGTCCCACCCTGAGCTGGGGATCCAGAGGCCCTTGACGCTGCCCACAGCTCCCTCCAAGCCGGCCCTGGGGCCCCTCGGGAAGCGGGGCCGAGGAAGCAGCTGCTCCCTGCCCAGTGCCAGCTGGCCCGGGCAGGTCCTGTGCTTCATGGGAACCCAGCGTTAGTCCCTCTGATTAGGGTGATGGTAGAGGGTGTGGCCTCACACCTGAGCCGGCAGGTGAGTGTCCTGGGAGTGCGGTCCGTGCCCGGCAGGGCGCCGCGTCCAGCCTGTGCCCTGCTGCCTGGACTTCCACCTGCCCGCTGCTGTGTCCCTGGGCCACACGCAGAGGTGAGGCGGCCACACAGCGCTTTGACCCTTGAGCGCCCCGAGAGCCCGGCAGAAAGGAGCTGTCCCGCCTTTGTCTTTAAAAGGAGGTCGCCGTGGGTTTGGGGCTGCTGCCCACTAACGCTTCCCTGGACTCACCGCATC